TTTGCCACACAAATGAGTACGGTACTTTCCCTGAGTACTTTTTATTTTGTTGTCTGGTAACAGCCTTTGAAATGTTTCTTAGGAATCTGCTACTCTTGGGAATCGTGGCATCTCAGGTCTCAGAGGTTTTAATTGGCCATATTGTTTGGTGAGGGAAACCATGGTGAACCCCAAAGAGGATTCAATAATAATGACAACAATAACAGCAGTGGTCTTAATGCTCCACCACACTTTTCTTATTGGAGCCTCACAACAACTTGATGAGGCAGATATTGCAATTCCTATTTACAAAGGGGGCAGAAAAGCCTCAAAGAAGTTAAATAACTTGTCCAAAGTCATATTGCTTGAAGCTGGAGTGAAATTGCTAGCATAAGGTGATCAAATTGCAAGGAGAACCTGTAAGTCTGACTTTAGTTTCCACTGGGCTGTGCATAATCTCTAGGTGACTTTTATTAGTGCTCGTTAAATATAATTTTGTCCTAGAATTAAGCAGAGAAAACCTTTCAAGGTGGTTATCTTCCCATCTTTTTAGAGTGATCATCATTATGGGGGGTGGTGGTTAGAAATGGGGTGGAATAACAAATAATATTTGTGTTATGTACATATCCCAGTCGTGTCCTTTTGGTTGTACGTGCACGAGGCTTTTGGTGATTGAGGATTGATTCCGGGGGCCTGTGAAATGGTATCACAAAGACTCTTCTTGGCACCCTTTGTCCCGATCTGGTTTAAGGGACAGATTGGGAAACTTGTTTCTTCCTCCTTTTTAAAAAGAGAAATGAAAAACACACTTGACTGGCACTTCCTCCTCAGCGACAGGCCTGCCTGACTGCAGTTTGATTTAGCTCCTTTTGTTCTTTATGGAGAACAAAGTGAAATTTCTTCTCAGGTGGCTGTAAGGAGTGTATCAGGAGAAGGCCCCTTATCCTTTTAAAGAAACAGAGCAAATATTTTTTCTTCAGACAAAAGAGAGACTGTGCAGTTGTTTTAGTTCCTTTGACTTCTTGCCATCAGTCAGACTTTCTCTTGTTTGAACTGTTGGTGTGTTTAGGTCTCTGGGAATTGGTAGAGAAGCTCTTCAGTAATCCTGAGCTTTAGTTTTTGAATTTTCTTGATAACTGGTATTTGTAGCAGCTCTTCCCTCGTCCTTCTGATTCCTGTAGGAACTTCAGACTGCATCACAGTTTTCTGAATCATCCAATGTTTGTGACCTATATTTTCTTCCTCTTGAGTTACATGAGGTCAGAAGGTCAGACTTTTTTTAGGAATTGGACTGCTGCTGTGTTCACCACATGTTATAAGATTATAAATGGTTAAAAAGTACTTTTAATGTTGCACTATAGGGCAAGGAACCCTCAAAACTCATTTCTGCTGAACTTCTCTATATTAGGTAAAAGAATGATTGGCTCTAAAAAAATTATAGGCTCAGTTAAGGGTTAAGGTGAATGGATGGGAACTGTATTTCAGATTTGTGGCAGTTTCACTTCCAGACTTTTGGTCTTTAAACCATGAGTTATCAGGGTCACCAAGGAGATTATTTCTTTCCAGTTAGTTCATCCTTAGTTTATGCAGGAGGTTGGCCAGCACTGTGTTGACATATTCATTGTGTACATAGTATTTATATTGTAGGCTACTGGGGGATGAGAGCTGTACTACAAGGATACAGGCTAGAGTGTTCCTCAATCAATCCTTAGGGAACTTTGTGCTATATGCGACTAGGAACTTGGAATTATGTTTTTCTGTAGAATCTTTCTGGCTTTTTAAATTTTAATATTCAGGGAGAAAACTCATTTCAGCATAGGCGATAAGTATTTTTCCTTCTGTATTTGGATGCATCTAGTTGTGTACTTTTTAGATTGCAGCCTTTCGTGAAGTGTAAAGAGCTGATTATTGTTTGACTTTTTACAATAAGCATTTATTACTTTTTAAATTAAAAAAATGAAAAGAACACTGCCTTTTCTGTTGATTGTCACCTATAATCCTGCCACCCAAAGAGAACCATGGTTAATACTTTTTATATTTCTCTTCTGTCATTGTTCTTTTTATGATTTAAAAAATTTTATTTATTTATTTTTGGCTGCATTGGGTCTTCGTTGCTGCGTGTGGGCTTTCTCTAGTTGCGGTGAGTGGGGGCTACTCTTCGTTGCGGTGTGCGGGCTTCTCATTGCGGTGGCTTCTCTTGTTGTGGAGCATGGGCTCTAGGCGCACGGGCTTCAGTAGTTGTGGCATGTGGGCTCAGTAGTTGTGGCTCACGGGCTCTAGAGCGCAGACTCAGTAGTTGTGACACACGGGCTTGGTTGCTCCGCAGCATGTGGGATCTTCCCAGACCAGGGCTTGAACCCGTGTCCCCTACATTGGCAGGTGGATTATTAATCACTGTGCCACCAGGGAAGTGCCTCTATCATTATTCGTAAAGATTAAAAAAAAATAAAATTTGGATCATACTGTATATGTAATTTTCTATTCTGCTTTTTTCACTTAACATGTATTTTTTCACATTATTAAATATTTTAAAAATAAATTTTGAATAGGTAATTTCAAAAATAAAAATGACATAAAACAAAAACACTGAGAAGTCTAGCTTCTATCTTTGTCTCCATTTACCTTGTCCCTTCAGTTCCTAATAAGTGACCATTAATTTCTCCTCTTTTTCAAAAGTTAGCCTTACTATATATGTTGTTTTGCTCCTTGCTTTTTCCTCCTCTGAACAATGTATCTTGGAGATCTCTTGCTGTTAGTACCCATAGAACCTTCCTTACCGTAGATTAGTCATTTAGTCCCTTTTAGAGACTTGGGTTGTGCCCAAGTTTTGCTATTACAAACAATAAGAAGTAGTAATTAAAGGGAAAAAAATTAAGCATTTACTCTGCTTCAGTTATTAAGGGAAAGTTCTTTCCAGAAGAATGCCAGCTAATAAATGTAGAAATAATGATGGAATTGGAAAATCAATGTATTCCAGCCCCCAAATGAAATAATTTAAAAAGGAATCATCAGTGACTGCTAAATGATTAAGCAAAAGGTTGAAGAGGAACAGCATATTCACATGGTGCCGAACGTTAGCCACAGATCAGTAGTTGTAAAGGGGGAAATATACCTTTATAAAGAGAGCTCTGGCTGTTACAGACTCAACCAAGTGATCATGTTTTGCCGGATGATCATGTAATTTACCAGGTCTCCCTAAATGGAACAGTCTGAGAATATGATGTGCTGCATCATGAGATGAGGTACATAGGTAGCATCACCTGAAAAGCATTTTTGCCCAAGCCTCTTAACCTAAATCTAGTCAGCGTTTACAGGAAGTATTAGGGATAGAGATGCAAGCTAAATGGCACTGTGAGGAAATAATCAGACAAAACTAGGATGTAACTGTCAACTGCAAGTCAACAAGTCAACTCTCCTGGTCTTCTTAAAAAGCTTGTGTTGTAAACAAACAAGCATAAACAGAACCAACCAAAATAAAACTTGGAGGCCATTCTAGAGTAAAAGAGACTAAAGAGACATTACATCCAAATTCGTTGCTTGAACCTTGTTTGGGTTCTGGATTTTTTTTTTTTTTTTGTGGTACGCGGGCCTCTCACCGTTGTTCCTGTTGTGGAGCACAGGCTCCGGACGCGCAGGCTCGGCGGCCATGGCTCACGGGCCCAGCCGCTCCGCGGCATGTGGGATCTTCCCAGACCGGGGCACGAACCCGTGTCCCCTGCATCGGCAGGCGGACTCTCAACCACTGCGCCACCAGGGAAGCCCTGGATTTTTTTTAAGACACTTTTTGGTGTATTTGGTGTATTAAAGGCACAAATGATAATGCGTGTGATAATGGTATTGTGGTTATGAAGTTAAATGTCTTCATTCTTAGATGCACAGTGAGGTATATAGGATTAGAGTATCTCAATGCCTGCTGAAATGGTTCGCAGGAAAATTAAAACAACCCTTATATATCTCTATCCATAGAGATAAATGAGGCAAATTTGACAATATATTAGCAATTCTTGAGTCTAAGTGGTGAGTAGTTGGTATTTATTCTACTGTTTTCAACTTTTCTGTATATTTGAATTTTTTCAAAATATAGTTGAAGAAACAGTGTTGCAATGAATGAGGTTTATATACGTATTCTTTTCAAATGCCATTTCATTGGGCTGTATATTCCATTGTTTGGAGGGACCACAATTCTTTAATTGTTGCACATGTGTATATTTTGCTGCTATTTGACATTTTAATAGGATTTGTGTTTATTTTGTGACAGCTTTATACAGTTAAGGCTTGCAGTGGATGAGAAAAAGGAATTGAAATTTTTTCTTCTCTTTCCTCTGTCCTCTATTCTGGAACTTGAGTGGCGAAGAGAAAAAGAGAATGAGAAAGGTACCTCGAAGTGGTTCTGTGCACTTGCTTTTAGGTAGGAGATAGAATTGAAGCTGCTGCATAAGAACCATACCTTAAGTAATAGCCTTTTAAAATTGGTTACGTGTCCTTTAGTTTGGAGGCTGCCCAAGTGATAAAGAGGACTACTAGCAACTAGGGAAGCAGCTTGGCACAGAGCGGGGAGTGCAGATTTTTTTTTTTTTTTTTTGGCTGTGCTGTGTGCCATGCAGGATTTTAATTCCCGGACCAGGGATTGACCCTGTGACCCCTGCATTGGAAGCACGGAGTCCTAACCACTGGACTGCCAGGGAAGTCCCCGGAGTGCAGATATTGTGATTTGTTTTGTTTTTGACAGGGTTTTAGACCTTTTGGTTAGTAAAAAAGTTTTTACTGCCTGATAAAAAGAATAACTCCTTTAGACAATGGTCTCTTCTTTAGATATAAGGCTGAGCTATGGAGGATATGGGAGGAATTTAAGGATGAAATATTCTTGGAAGAAAAGTTCTGGGAGAAGGGTCTTTTCTGAGAAGATGTCGTTAAATATGAAAAGAACAGTACTTTCCTCTTTGAGTTAGAATCATATTTGCAGTGGGAACCTTCTCTGACTGCAGAATAGATGTTCTTTGACATTAATGTCTATACCTTAGATTTCCATGAAGGCAACTTACAAGGACCTGAATGGCCTCATTTTAGCTGCTTCAGCGTGTAGAGCTATTGCTCACTCCTTCTCTTCCCGGGCCTGGTGTGACAGTGGCTACTGAGGACCATGAAGGTTGTTCCAGAGAAGAATGCTGTCCGGATACTCTGGGGGCGAGAACGGGGCACTCGGACCTTTGGAGCTCAGCGACTTCTGCAGGAGCTGGTGGAAGATAAAACCCGGTGGATGAAATGGGAGGGCAAGGTGAGAAAAATGGGTGTTTTTCACATAGGAGTTGTAGGGGTGACAGTAGAATGGGGCCTTAGAATGGGATAATGACATAGAGTTGGGGTACAATTTATTTTGTGTAGGAGAATTGATATATCTAACTTGGTTTTTTGTGGGGGGAGGTTTTAATAAATTTGGAAGCATAATGGGCTAGAAATATCATTTTTCTTTAGAGCTAGATATTTTTCCTGAAGGTAATTTAGATTTATCTCTCTCAATTTGTAGCTTGATCATTGTCTCCAGTTTTTAAGCTTACACTGTAAATACTAGTCTGGAATGGTTTGGTGCTTTTGAGATAGAGTGAGCCATAGTTTATAAATAATGTATTTTAACTTTTGTTTGTTTATTTCTCAGAGAGTAGAACTGCCGGATAGTCCACGCTCTACCTTTTTATTGGCCTTCAGCCCAGACAGGTACCACCAAGTCCTTACCTAAACTTTACCTGAGACTTGTGACAGCATTGCTTTCTGTGTATTTGGCCTAGCTTGATCTTCCAAGTCAAATCCCTAAAGGCTCTTTTTTTTTTTTTTTTTTTAAATTTATTTTATTTATTTATTTTTGTCTGCGTTGGGTCTTCTTTGCTGCGCGCGGACTTTCTCTAGTTGTGGTGAGCGGGGGCTACTCTTGGTTACGGTGCGCAGGGTTCTCATTGCGGTGGCTTCTCTCGTTGCGGAGGCTTCTCTCGTTGTGGAACACGGGCTCTAGGCGTGCGGGCTTCAGTAGTTATGGCTCGTGGGCTCTAGAGCACAGACTCAGTAGTTGTGGCACATGGGCTTAGTTACTCCACGGCATGTGGGATCTTCCTGGACCAGGGCTTGAACCCGTGTCCCCTGCATTGGCAGGCAAATTCTTAACCACTGCGCCACCAGGGAAGCCCCCTAAAGGCTCTTTGAAGCACTGAATGAACAGAGCTTTGCCAGTGTTATCAGAAAGGGAAAGAAAGTAGATGAGCAGTGCTAACCATAAAAATAATGGGAATAAGCAAAGGAATCTATGAACGTCGAGGATCAGAGCTTGGAAAGTTTCTCAATAAGAATCCTTTGCCTGTGTGATCTAGGCCACCAATAGTGTGATAGTTTTCCCTGCTGGAAAGAATATTCTCTGAAGGGGTTATGTGTCTTCTGGGGACAGAATGGAGAAGCCGAAAGCTTTTAAAGATGAGAATGTTTCTGTTGTTTGTAATGCCCAAGTCGTAGTATTTATCATGTTGGGATGGGAAATAAGTATCAATTTTCATTTTTGTCCAAAGCTGATAAAGTTTGTTACCCTCCCACACGCTTCACATTTACTTCCTCCTCTTTGATTCCCTAGGACTCTCTTGGCCTCCACCCATGTAAACCATAATATCTATATCACGGAGGTGAAGACAGGCAAGTGTGTTCACTCTCTGATTGGACACCGCCGCACTCCATGGTGTGTCACTTTTCATCCCACCATCTCAGGCCTTATTGCTTCTGGCTGCCTAGATGGGGAGGTTAGGATTTGGGATTTACACGTAAGTGTTTCCTTTTCTTTGGTATTCTAAATGCAGAGACTTGTTTACCCTTGGTTTCTTAACTCTGGAGGAGAGACTAGCCAGGTTCTTAGGACTATATCTGAGTACTTACTCAGTAATCATTGCCTACTTACTGATAGGGAGTCTAGCCGACAGCCCTCCGTTCTAAGATGAACACCCTATTTAACTGTCTGCCCATTGTGACATAGTACAGGACACTCTAAGACGTCTTCAGGATGGATTTCTCTTGTTTTAGATCAAGGATTGTACTGTATTCTGATCATGCTCCTTGTCCTGGTGACTGGCTAGTGGGTTGTTGTGCACCATGTCATGCACCAAGCTTGAGTTTTCACAGGCTACAGAAACAGGAGCTGTGCGGGTGCTCATTGCTTATGGATTGTAAATGACAAAACTGAGCTGACAGTAATGTTTTTCTGATAAAGTTGTGACAATGCCAGATCACTGGTTTTGTCCGTCGTTTTCAGAGGACATACTTAAAGTGGGCCCTACAAGTAGTCGTTTTATGTTAAATGGACCCTTTTTTTTTTTTTTTTTTGAAATTGACATCTCAGTCTGCTGGCAGCTTGTAACCTAAGAATGTCTGGGATTTGTTCATTCATAGGGTGGCAGTGAAAGCTGGTTCACAGATAGCAACAATGCCATTGCCTCCCTGGCTTTCCACCCTACGGCTCAGCTCCTGCTGATTGCTACTGCCAATGAGATCCACTTCTGGGATTGGAGTCGACGGGAGCCCTTTGCCGTGGTGAAGACAGCTAGTGAGATGGAACGGGTCCGGTGAGTGCTCTGCCCACCAGCAATGTCTGGCGTAGGATTAACATGGCAGAGAGCATTCACCCGTGCTTTCACCTCAGGAGACAGATTATTATCTCCGTATTATCCCTGCTCAGGGCAGGGTGTTATCCCTATGGCTCTTCCTACTTTTTAAGCATCTGGCTAATCAGCTAGGAAGCAGTTCATATTGTTCATTTCAGCTGTTCCATATTGGCCTCATCTTCTGATCTGTGTAGACTATGGCTGTTAGAATCTTTTTTAGGTTCAAAGCTATCTGGTTTGGTATAAAGCCTTTTTTTTTTTTTTTTTAATAATCCTGAAAGGTATTCAGGTGGTGGGTAGCTTGGTGGCTAAGTTGCTCATCCCTGGTTTTCTGGAAATGGAAAGTGGAGGTGTAGATATGTATCCAATCTGCTAGTAGATATTTACATATTTAGCCTTCAAAATCAGCGCACATATTGCCTGAATTATAGTCGATGCATTGTTTTCCTTTGGTCCTTTTGGTATCGCAGTTGGATATTAGCTAATTTTCTAGCCTCAGCTATGTCACTTGATGCTGAGACTGTTCCTTGTCACCAGCACTCATGCTTCTTGCCAGTGTAGCTGCTGTGTGAGGGGAGACCTGAACCTGTGGCAGAGTATGGGAGCATTCTCTGCTTTACTATTATGATGGGCTCTTAGACATGAGCAGCTGTGTGCTTAATGTAGCTAGCTGCTTCCTGGGATGGAAGCCCAGGTGTTTTTTGAAATTATTTTTGCGATACGTATTCCCTTATTCTGGCAAGTGTGAGGACGTAAGAAGAAGTATTGAGCTTTATTACTTTAATCTGTTTGAAAGTTTTGGAAGTCTGTAGCATTAAGGGGATACCTCGGTGATCCCACAATTGTCAGTAATGATTTCCAGACGTTTTCTCACAGGTTTCCTCTTCTTGGTTAACATAATTTCTCTCTCTGTGTCTCTGTCCCTTTCTTCTGTGCTTTCAGTCTGGTGAGATTTGATCCTCTTGGACACTACTTACTCACAGCAATTGTTAACCCCTCTAATCAGCAGGTAAGTTAGTCAGCAGTTTCAACTCTGTCTAAACTGTGGGTTATTTTCTCAACTAGTGCTCTAATTCTGATTATATTGGACTTCAATTTTCAATGTCCAAGTGTTTCTTTCCAGTCAAGATTCAAAACTAGCTTCAGACTGTATTCAAAGTTATAGCCATATCGTGACAGGGGAGTCCATTCTGAAACCCCTGAGTGATCGTCTCAGTAGAAGTAACCAGGCCGTGTTGGATAACTTGTCATTCATGTGCCTCTGGCTGGTTGACATTTTGCTTCCCCTTACTGCCTCCATGTCATGGAAATGCCTTTTGTAACAGAGTTGGTTTGCCAGCTGTACTCGTTCAGAAGTGTTGCTAATTGGAAGTGAATAATTTAATACCATATGATGATTCTGAATCTGGAACCAGTTAGTTCTCAGTACTTCAAGGATGGAGTTGTTGCCTCTCTAGAAAGGTTTTCCTTGGATGATTATCAGTAGTTTTTCTTGATTTACCAGCAAGTTCTACCTAACTACCTGGCTCTGCCCCCGCCCCACCTTGGTCCACGTTGCAGGGTGATGACGAACCAGAGATCCCCATAGACGGAACAGAATTATCGCATTACCGTCAGCGTGCCCTCCTGCAGTCACAGCCAGTGCGCCGGACGCCTCTCCTCCACAATTTCCTGCACATGCTGTCCTCCCGCTCCTCTGGCATCCAGGTGGGAGAGCAAAGCACAGTGCAAGATTCTGCCACCCCCTCACCCCCACCGCCTCCCCCTCAGCCCTCCACGGAGCGTCCCAGGACTTCCGCTTACATCCGGCTCCGACAGCGGGTCAGTTACCCCACAGCCGAGTGCTGCCAGCACCTTGGGATCCTGTGCCTTTGCAGCCGCTGCTCTGGCACTCGAGTTCCTTCCCTCTTGCCACACCAGGACAGTGTACCCCCTGCTCCTGCCAGGGCTACTACCCCTTCCTTTTCTTTTGTACAGACCGAGCCCTTCCATCCCCCGGAGCAGGCCTCATCAGCGCAGCAGGACCAGGGCCTCCTGAACCGGCCGTCTGCCTTCAGTACAGTCCAGAGCAGCACTGCCGGCAACACGCTCCGCAACCTCAGTCTGGGTCCCACCCGCCGCTCTTTGGGAGGTCCTCTGTCTAGCCACCCTTCTAGGTATCACCGAGAAATCGCTCCCGGGCTGACAGGATCTGAGTGGACCCGGACAGTGCTCAGTCTGAACTCCCGCTCTGAGGCGGAATCCATGCCCCCGCCCAGGACCAGTGCCTCTTCGGTGAGTTTGCTGTCTGTGCTGAGACAGCAGGAAGGTGGCTCTCAAGCATCTGTGTACACTTCAGCCACAGAAGGGAGGGGTTTTCCAGCTTCAGGGTTGGCAGCTGAGTCAGATGGAGGGAATGGCTCCAGCCAAAACAACTCGGGCAGCATTCGCCATGAGCTTCAATGTGACCTGAGACGCTTCTTTTTGGAGTATGACCGGCTTCAGGAGCTGGACCAGAGCCTGAGTGGGGAAGCGCCCCAGGCCCAACAGGCCCAGGAAATGCTCAACAATAACATTGAATCTGAGAGGCCAGGCCCCTCCCACCAGCCCACCCCGCACAGCAGCGAGAACAACTCCAACCTGTCCCGTGGCCACCTGAACCGCTGCCGCGCTTGCCACAATCTCCTGACCTTCAACAACGATACCCTGCGCTGGGAAAGAAGTGCACCTAACTACTCCTCTGGTGAAGCCAGCTCCACCTGGCAGGTCCCCAGTACCTTTGAGGGCATGCCCTCGAGTGGCAGCCAGTTGCCACCTCTCGAGCGGACTGAGGGCCAAACGCCGAGCTCCAGCAGGCTGGAGTTGAGCAGCTCTGCTAGCCCACAGGAGGAGAGGACTGTGGGGGTGGCCTTCAACCAGGAGACAGGCCACTGGGAACGAATTTACACCCAGTCCAGCAGATCTGGAACTGTGTCGCAGGAGGCCTTACATCAGGATATGGCTGAGGAAAGCTCCGAGGAAGATTCACTCAGGAGGTGAGCAGATACTTTCCTGTCTTCTCCTGTATCCCTTACTTTCCTCCTGATATCTCTTCCTTCAGTCCTGTGGGTGTTGTGGCTGGATCTGGAGTGTCTGGGATCCATGCATCATGCATCTGGTTCTGATTTCCCTAGCTTCCATTGCATCTTCTTGGAAAATCTTGCTGTGGTGGCGGAAAGAGGATAAGGCCTGGCAGTATGAGTCAGGTGACTCGGCTTGCTCCTTTTCTGGCTAAGCTCATGTGATGTTTAGCCTTGGAGGAGAGTTGTAGATGAGGTTAGAGAGGCATGAGGAGGTAAAACCGTTGACTTCCTCTTCTCTGCTTTTTGGCCTTCTCCAAGGATTGTATGTGCAGGACTGGTTATTGTGAAACAACAAAATGTCCCAGAGAGACTAGGAAAAAGTAGTAAAAGAGAACCCTGCTTAGGACAGATTAGTGTATTGGCTCTTTGATTGTGTTGCTTTGGACAAATTCTGAAACCATATCTTTTGGAACATTGCAACTTGACAAAAGGAAAAGAAAATAGTACGTATATATGTCAAGAAAAAGTTTTTTTTTTTTTTAGCGATATATATTTTTTGGACAGCAAGTTAGTTGCTTAGTTAAGATTCTTTGAGTAGATCTTCCAGATGGACATTCACCTCGAGGTGGAGAAGAAGAAATTCATAGAAGGAAGGCCTCTCCATACTTGGATTGGCATCCCAGGCAACTCTTTCATGGAAGAAACAGAGTGGGTGTAGTTGATCGCCCACCACATGTTCCGTGTATGGCTGTGTGCGCATCTATCTTGATTTATTAGGGACTTCTTTCTGTAATTCTGTAAAGGTCAAATCTAGCATAATCACCAACTCCCAGAATATGCTTGTTGGATCCAAACAGCATATTGCTGTGCATTACATCCTCTGTTGAAGCATCTGAAGTTTCTCTGACATAAGCTTCTAGCAAGGGTGGGAATATGGATTGTGCACATAATGTACTTGTTATTTTGGGAGAATGCTTTAGAGAGTTACCCAGTTAATAAGTATTTGTTGAATTATATATTTTTTCTAGCACTGTGCTAGGCACTGTCAGGAGTACAAAAGCAGTATAATACCTGGTCTTTACCCACTGGCAGTATACAGTGTTGTTGTAGAGGCAAGACTTATGTACATGTAATTACATAAAAAATGTAAATGAGCCGAATGCTTCATTGTATGGTACTGAGATTAAATGTAGTCTAATTTCAGAGAAAGGGAAGGATCATCAAAGAAGGCTTTACAAGAATAAGTCTTGAAAGATGGGTAGGATTTGGAAGGGGAAAGCCCTTTTTATTTTGAGGATATAGCACATGCTAAGGGAGGAAAGGGCATGATGAATTCAGGATAAGAAGAAGTTACTTAAGGGCAGTTAGTAACGTGAACACAGGGAGACTTGGTCAGATATGAAAGAGAGATGAGGTAGCTTAGATTGTTACTCTGCCCGTTTGATTGAGGCCAGTTCTGGATTAACATCTAAATTGCCAGCTTTGGAATACTTTGCCTTGCATAATGACCCATATCAGGAGCCTGAGATTCTGTTCTTCCTTTTTGTCAAGAGAGGTGAGACAGTAGCAAGCATAGTGCCTGACATATAGTAGGCATTCAAAAAGTTTATTAAAGGTAGCCATAAAGGACTGTCTACAGTTATTGCTCTAAAAGCCTACCAGTGCCTGTTTCACTAGCATCAGTGGGTTTGTGGTCAGCCTCTCTGTCCGTTCTGTTCTAGCAGGACCTCTTCATGTGTTGCTGTTCTGAGAAATACCTGAGTTGTTTATTTTTTTTTTTTGCGGTACGCGGGCCTCTCACTGTTGTGGCCTCTCCCGTTGCGGAGCACAGGCTCTGGACGCGCAGGCTCAGCGGCCATGGCTCACGGGCCCAGCAGCTCCGCGGCATGTGGGATCCTCCCGGACCGGAGCACGAACCCGTGTCCCCTGCATCGGCAGGCAGACTCTCAACCACTGCGCCACCAGGGAAGCCCTACCTGAGTTGTTTAAAACAAACTCTGTTGTTTGATAATAATTAGAGATACCAATTACTGAGAGCCTACTACTGTGTTCTAGCTTTGCATTAATTATTTCTAATTTCCATAGTAACTCTGTGCAATGCAGGTATGAAATTTCCCATCTTCCAGTTGAGGAAAGAGTGGCTCAGAGAAGTCAAGTTTCTTGTTAAAGGTCACACAGTAGGTTGCTGAGTGGGGATTTGAACTCCAGTGTGCATGACTAAAGATTTTTTAGGCTGCCCTCCATGGTGTGTGTTTTTTTAATTAATTAATTAATTTATTTATTTATGGCTGCGTTGGGTCTTTGTTGCTGCATGTGGGCTTTCTCTAGTTGAGGCGAGCGGGGGCTACTCTTCGTTGCGGTGCGCGGGCTTCTCATTTTGGTGGCTTCTCTTGTTGCAGAGCACGGACTAGGTGCGTGGGCTTCAGTAATTGTGGCATGCGGGCTCAGCAGTTGTGGCTCACGGGCTTAGTTGCTCTGTGGCATGTGGGATCTTCCTGGACAGGGCTTGAACCTGTGTCCCCTGCATTGGCAGGTGGATTCTTTTCTTTTTTTGCGGTACGCGGGCCTCTCACTGTTGTGGCCTCTTCCGTTGCGGAGCACCGGACACGTAGGCTCAGCGGCCGTGGCTCATGGGCCCAGCCACTCTGCGGCATGTGGGATCTTCCCGGACCGGGGCACGAACCCGTGTTCCCTGCATTGGCAGGCGGACTCTCAACCACTGGGCCACCAGGGAAGCCCCTGGCAGGTGGATTCTTAACCACTGCGCCACCAGGGAAGTCCCCATGGTGTATTTCTTAAAGTGATAATCTCATTTTTAGGTGAACCATTTTTATGTTTTTCTTTTCTTTTAACTTTTTGTTATGGAAATCTTCAAACATATAAAAATTAAAAGAAAAGTAGTATAAATGAACTCCCATATACCTATCACCTGGCTTCAGAAATTTTCAACACTCGTCTGTATCCCTTATCCACTCCCAGCCACCCAGACATCATATAATTTTGTCTGAAAATACTCTAGTATGTTTCTCTAGAGCAATTCTGTCTAATAAAATGTTCTATATCTGTGCCATATAGTATAGTAGCTACCAGCCGCATGTGGCTATTGAGCATTTGAAATGTGGCTAGTGTGATCTGAGAAACTGCATTTAAATTTTAACTAATTTAAATGTAGATAGCCACGTGTGACTAATATATTAATAGTCACTTCTTAATAAAGTGGGCCATTTAAAACCCAGAAACTATTAAGGATGTATCAGAATTTTTTTTAGGCAAAAAGTAGTATGTGCTTGTGGTTTAAATAAAAAAGTTCAAGCATTTAGAAATGTTATGTTGTAGAAAATGAAGTCCCTTGTCATCTTGCTGTAAACAATTTTATATGTGTATATATATATATATATATATATATACACAGACACACACACACGCTTTTTAAATTTTAAAATATACAAATGCACAGTTCTCATTGTAAAATAGTATATTAATCCAGTGGTTACATTATTTATGGAGTTGCTTTTCAAATGAACTTGAATGAGGTGTACCACGAGGGTTTACAGCCTATCAAAAATGAGGTATCTTGTAAAATATTCTAAGTGCACACCCATTAAAGAAGGGCCACCACTTCCTCATAAACTGAGGGGCTGCATTCTGGTATAAATCACTAATATATACTTGTGTTAATTGGCATCTTCTACCACCTTCTGAAGGTCCAGTGTTCTCTGGCTGATGAGCGGCCTTGCTTGGATTTCCCCAGCAGGTGTCACTGTTGGGCTAGGCTGGCAGGGAAGAGGTGTCCTTACTGTGTGTGTGCACGTCTACTTGAAGGGAGGGGGTTTATTCTTCAGCCATGTAGTAGGAGATGGACTAAGGAGGCATGTTTTGATCCTTGGTGTTGCTGATATAATCTATAGTGTTTTCAGATAGTGAGAATATGAAGCAAAAGTGTGTATTTCAGTGTAGCTCTATGTTGCTGAACAGTGATGCACGGTTTATCTCCTTTTGCCTCTGGGCAGTGGAAGGTGACTGTCTCTATATAGTCTGACTCCAGGTTACAGTTTATAACTTGGATGGCAGACCCTTTGCTTCACCATGAGAAGCTTCTTTTGGGGTCTGATAGCCCAGGACTTAGCAGGAGAAGATAAGGGTGTTGGGGCTTCTTGCAACAGGGTCCCTGTGGCCGTGAAAGGCTTGTATTAGGGAAAAAAAGAAAATTATTTAAATGGCGTCTTGAAACTGGAGAAAACCTAGAGTTTATTTAGTCCAGTGTCTGTATGTCTGCCTGTCTCTGTCTCTTTCTAATTGATGAGAAAACTTAGAAGCAGAGAGGGGAAGTGACCTCCCACTGCTATGGCCTCTCCCGTTGCGGAGCACAGGCTCCGGACGCGCAGGCTCAGCGGCCATGGCTCATGGGCCCAGCCGCTCCGCGGCATGTGGGATCCTCCCGGACCGGGGCACGAACCAGTGTCCCCTGCATCGGCAGGCAGACTCTCAACCACTGCGCCCCCAGGGAAGCCCGGAAGTGACTTTAAAGAGGTGCTTGTAGCAAAGATGGGAGTCAAACTTCTGGGTCCTAAAGAGGGTGCTCTTTCGTCCTCTTCATTTGAAATTAGTGCTTTCACACATCAGTTTTCTCTGTCAAAACTTCTAGGGGCTTCCCTGGTGGCGCAGTGGTTGAGAGTCCGCCTGCCGATGCAGGGGACACGGGTTCGTGCTCCGGTCCGGGAAGATCTGACATGCCGCGGAGCAGCTGGGCCTGTGAGCCATGGCCGCTGAGCCTGCGCGTCCGGAGCCTGTGCTCCGCAACGGGAGAGGCCACAACAGTGAGAGGCCCACATACCACAAAAAAAAGAAAAAAAAAAAAAGAGAAAGGGAAGCGTAGGGGAAGATAAACCCAGGCCTTAAAGGAGCGTGGTTCTTGTTATAACCCTGGGAATTGGGCTGGTGAAATAATTACTCTGATTGATCGATTCATTCAT